GGGTCCGCCAGTATTCTCAGGATTATTATTTGTTGTTTCCATACCAGTGCTTTTTGCTTATACGTAAGAGACGCACCTCATTATCAGCAACGCTGCCTTGCACTTGAGAAGCACCACGCTGTGTCTGTGATTGCGTCCAGTCAGATATATCCTGCGAGAAGCCTGAAAAATCTCATTAACATTTTCTGAAAACACTTAATTTATTCAAAATGAAATCCCTCTCAGTGCTTTGATTCGTTAGATTTGAAATTTTTTAAGACAAAAAAAGCGCAGAAACGCATAGAAAATGCTCCTGTACAAGAAAAATTGACAAAAATGCATCGACAACTAACCTGATATTCCACCAATTTGCTGCATATAGAGGGGATCCTGTGACTGCTGCGAACAAAACATATTGGCGTCGGCCTGTTCACGATTCTGCACCATTCGACCACCAGTACTCCACTGTTCAGGCTTTGCGTTCGCCTGAGGAGGTGGCGGATAGCAGTGCGGTGCGTTTGGCTGCATGAACATTCCCACTGGTACCGGGATATTGACACCACTGTGTGGTCGCAGATTGCCCTGAGTGATTGCCAACAGTGGATCCTGGACGGCCAGGAAATCTCGATTGCGCATAGCGTATGCATTCTTCTGTGGACCTTTCGGCAGCACTGCACCACGTGGTATGAAGCGTCTCATCTGTAATTTTTCATCTTTTCACTGCGACTCATTTTTTACACAATTTTTTTTTTTTAAATATTTCCTTAAAATGCCAGTGACTGTGCTGAAATTTAAAAGAAACTTAGACTGCAACCATTTTTTTGATTCCCCGTCAAAATCCCTTTTATATTTCACTCCCATGGCAAATTAAAGCATTTAGGCGTAGTCAGCACAAACGGTATGGTTGGATTCCATACAAATGATATTAATAAGATATTCATACATTTTGAGCTACATCTTTTCATTTACTATCTATCATTCATTGGGGTCGCCAATGTAATCGGTTTTTCTCTCGTAGGTACTACCCATTGGTATATAAATTCTACTTAGTCCGAACTATTGCTTTTTATATTCACTTAATTTGAACTGTTTTTTTTTTTTTTTTTTGCTTTTATTAGAAGTGTATAGGCATATTTTCCCTAAATTTTCATATACGGCTAAATACTAATTCGATTTTGTTTCAGTTTTTTTTTTGTTCAAATTTCAACCATTTTCTACTTCTTGCATCTTATCTGAGACATCAAATAACAGCCATTAGAAAACATCAGTTGCAGGACTGCACCGAAGTTAGGTATTTCTGGCACACTCGGAAGAAGAACTTCTGGATTTTCGCTTTTCAGATACAGATTTGACAGAACCGAGGGGAGAAGTCCCGACGAGTAAACTGAGAAGCAAAACATACATCTTTACCCGCCGATTCAACGGTAATTCACTTATATTATTTGGAAAAATGAATATAAGCATAACTTACGTTCATGGCATTCGGTATGGATCGCACTTTTGTTAGAGTGACTGATGATGGCTTGAGATTGTTCAGAGGACCTTCCACCAGGCAACCCTTATCCTTGTAGATCGAAAGCAGATAATTCCAAAGACGATGACGTGACAGAACCTTCGCATTGCCAACAATTATAACGCCATACTTTGCTCTTGTTAGTGCAACATTCAGACGTCTCGAGTCATTCAGGAAACCAATGCCTTGATAATCATTAGAGCGTACACATGTCAGTATGATGATATCCTTCTCTCGGCCCTAAAAATAATCCCAAAGTTCTCTCTCTCT